TTGGTGATCTGGAAATTTATTATGATCACTAACCACTACAGCTTAAAAGAATGAGCTCATGAGGTATTAACTTTTGTGTATAGGTTTATAATTCACAATTGCCTTCTATGATAGAGAGTGTTACTCCAGGTAGAGATAGAGGATTACTTTCTATCAAGGTGTATTCTTTTTATAAAGTGTCACACAAATTTGGGTTTCATTAACCTGTTTTGCCTAACCCTTCTTTATATATAAGTTTTTCTTCTTGTGTTTTTTTGTTTCTCATGGCAGGAGTTTAACTCCATTTAGATAAACTTAAAAGCTGCACTATCCTAACTTTTGATAAAGTTGGTATTCACACTTTTGGATGGTTTGCTTATTGGAAAATGTGTCTTGAAGAATGGAAATCTTTTGTTGTGCCATTAGTTAATCGCAAAACAAGTCACTACAACCCCCATGTTAGTAACATCGATGTATCTTTATGCTTGATTTCTCTTAAAAAGAAGAAAACGTAAATGAAGAAAAAGAAATTGCTCTTTTTCCTTCTACTCATCAAACAAAAGAGAGACATGTGTATCAAAAAGTAAGCTTATCCTTTACTTATTCTTCTACCTTTTTTTTTATTCATTTCCTTATTTTGTTTTTTTTTAAAGAGAAACAACTACAATAGTAGAACTTAATTTTGTTGAAAAGGAAGAGACTTCTGAATGAGAATGAGGAGAAATTATGTGACTTTAAACATAGTAATGAATTAGATGACAAGTTTGTTAATGTTTTTAAAAATATTTCAACTCATTTTCTTGTATGTTCCTTGAACATATCTCTTCATGAAATTTAATTGGAATAGCATCAAGATAACTTCTTTAAACTGAGATGGAAAATATGTTAACAAATCTGAAAGAGTTGAAGACTTGATAGTTTTTAACTGAACAACAGATATATTGAATTCTCCCAATACAAGAAGACATTTTACTATTCTTTCGGATAGAGCTAGCTTAAAAAGTAAGAACATGATAGGGTCTACCTTTGTCAATATTATGAGCTTGTGAGCCAAGAAAAAATGTTGGAGCTTTTGAGTTGCATACAACAAAGCAAGACAATACATCTCTATAGGTGGATGATTTAACTTATTTCTATGTAAGCATCTATAGAGGTAGGACACAGGTCTTTCTTGTCTATCCATTTCTAGTACAAGTAAAGCACCAATTGAATAAGTAAAGAATTAAGGAGAAAAAGAAAATTAGAGAAAGAAGCTCTGGGTGAAAACGTGTTGTTCTGGCCCTAGAAAAAGATCCTTCAAATGCATTGTGAAGGTTCTATATATAGTGCTAGAAAAGGTAGTTACTCAAAAATAAGCTTTAATGTATGTAATGAATAATATTATTAAGAAGAGCTTTAATGTACATATGAATAACCATTACTGCAACCCATTATGTGGATATTAAAGTGGTGATTTTATTGCACATAATAAATAATGACTAGAAACTCATTATGTGACTGTTGAAATAATGAATGTAATAAGACTTATTCTTGAGTAGAAGGTAAGGGAGAAGAAGTATGTAAAAAGGTACACAGGAACAAGGTAAGAAAGAAAGGCATACATGGAAAGGTACACGAGAATAAGGTACGAGAGAAGAGGTATACATGAAAATGTATAAAAAAATAAGATAAAAGAAGAAGGTGTCTGTGAACAGGTATAAGAAAACAAGGTAAGTGTGAAAGGAAAAAACACTTATACTTCAGAAAAACATTAAGAGGAAAATTTTTTAATAACCTCATATCTAAGCCACGAAGTCAAACTTTCAAAAACTTTCCAAGGTGAAAGAAATCCTGTGAACCCTACCACTTATTTCGAGTTACTTTTACTATTATCGCATGAAGTAGTTATTCCGTGCAAAGTAGTTGCTCCACTTGTATTAATTGTTTTACACGAAGTAGAGCTCCACTTCTTCTAATTATTTTGTGTGAAGCAATATTTCACTTGTTCTATTTGTTCCATGTGAAGTAGCATTTTACCTGTTCTAGTTGTTCTGCATGAAATAGTATATTACTTGTTCTAATTGTTCTTATTATCCTCTATATAGTATTATGTTGTAAAACAACTCTAAAGAGAATTGATAGTAACCAAAATGAACTATGTACACTTTGCCCCATTGATATAAGGATTGACTTTTAGGCTGTTTGGCCCTTATCATTAAATTGCAACTAACAATCGATAGTGACATTCTTTTCAAGTTTTAAAGTTCATTTTTGGCCTTTTCTTTTATTTTATTTCAATTTATTTTGAGAACTTTTAAATTGTTCAAATTAATTTTTAAGGTTTTTTTTATATATATTTGACAACTCTAACAATAGTAATTTTGTTTAACAATCTTAGATTTTATTTTTATGAACCATTTCAAAATTGTTAAAACCAAGAATTAATTTTGAAAAATCTAAAATTAAATTTTTGAGGAATTTTCTTAACAACCTCGGAATTTGTTCTGGAAATTCTAAAGAATATTTTCTTAATTCAAAAATATCGAATTTTCTTAACAAACTCAAGATTTATTTCGACAATCTTGAATTTCTCTAGCCATCTCAGACCTTTTTGACAATTCTATAATTTGTCTTGTGGCAAACTGAAAATTGAAACAAGTGTATTATCAAAATAGCGAGGAGGATCTTTTGAACTAGGTTCAAGTTTGATCTCTTTGGAGAATGTAGGCAACTTGAACATAGATGTGACCTGGGTTTTATATTCTATCCTCATCACATTGCAAAACTTGCTTTGCAAATTTCTAATTTTCCCAAGTTTCCAACTTCAAAGTGTCGATCGATCCAAGGATGAATCTAGCTCAAAATCTTGAAATTGAACGATTCTAAACTAATTTTGAGTAATTTTATTTTGATTTATTTTTAATTATCTGGTGCTTTATCTTTAAAATGATAATAAATTTAGAATTTTTCATCATATCCGAGTCGTTCATTGTCTTTAATCCATTTCACTTCATTTCCAACTATAAATAGTCATTTACAATTCACACTTCTCCACGCCTTAGAATTCAAAAGCCTCTTCCTCCTCTCTTCTCTTCCAGTGCTTTACTCCAAACAGGCCCATATGTTTCCAGACCAGCCAGAAGAGCCTACTCTACTCCACATAGCCTAGGTTAGATTTCTCGCAATCCAATCTTTGACTAATCCAATCATATCCCACGCCAACCTAAACCTTTGAATGTAGATCCAAGCGGATAACGTAGACACACATGTTCACATGATTATTGATGTAGACACATTAATATGCATGATAATGTGCAAAGGTTAGGACCATCATAATAGTAGTATGTCACATAGATGTATGCTAATAAGATATCATATAGATTGTATGTCACCAAGGTTATTTTAGTGTTGGAATCAAAGTTTGCCATGCCATGACATGGGGTATGCCATAATGTGTGTGTCATTTAATCTTAGGATTGTTACCCTGAAGTGCCATGTGGTTTATGAAATGCTTGTGCTTTGCCATGTATTCTAGGAATGCTATGCCATATCGTCTTGAGGATGATTGTGGCATGCCATGTGGTATCAAGGGTTGCTAAGGGCTTTTCATCATTTGTTATACCACGTAGCTTTAGGACATTTTCATAATTTTTGTATGCCATGCACAATTTTTATGTCAAGATTTTTCATCTTTCTTTTTTCATAGTTGTTTCATTATTGTTTATATATAACATGTATTACTTTATTTACTTTGGAAGGATTTGTTTGCATCGTGTGAATGGTCAATAACAACCTAAGGCTACCATATTATTTGTATCTCTTTAGATGCATGTGGGACAGTATAAGACATTAATCATTAATAATTGCATGAGATATGAATTAGCAAAGGTGTGATGTACTCTTTGATTTTTATCCCTAATCGAGTCAATTCAAAATAAAATAATATAGTTTGAGTTTAAGGCGAGGTTGGAAGCTTGATTTCTGTCGTACTTTGTACTTAAATTTTTGAACCAAGTTCTCTAAAAATGACAAGAATAATTGTGATCTCGAAACTCATACAACTCGTTCTAAATTCCAAAATAAATGCTGCATGACGGCTTCAAATCTACCCTAAATAACATAAATCCCAAGTATAGTTCAAATAAGGACTCGTGAGAATTAGGATGATATCCAAACCGCTTACAAACTATTTCGACTTTTTTTTTTCAGATTCTATCGCTTTTCTCTTTTAATAAAGGAAGCAATGGCCAAATAATAACCCGTCTATATATCTTAATTACTCTTAATAACATACAATCTTTCACCTAAATTTGGTAATTAAAATGTAGGGCTTTGTTTGGTAATTACATTAATTACTAATTAATCAAATACTTATGTAGCAAGATCTACTCACTCTGTGTTAAGAAAATAATAGCACTTTTACTCAGGTTTTATTTAATTTCAGATACTGTTTTCCATGTTTTTCATAATATCCACCTTAATATTTCATCTATTAAAAAAACTTGTTTTTCTACTAACCTCAAACTCTAACATTGGGCAAAAAAATTCCAATTAAAAGAAAAGTTAAGAAATTACTTAAATGGCTGAGAACCTTTTGTAGATCATCATTATTATGTAACAATTGGTAGCCACAATTTTCAATATATATCCTACATGAAGATATTTTATTTTCTACCCTTGAAAATGGCTTCTATAGAAAGTAAATTTTTAATTATTTCGTGTTATTTTATGCAGCTTAAAGCTTTATTGTTTGATCGTTACTTTCATTTTTAACAACAATTATTTTTTTATGTGAAGAAAAGAGATTTGAGTTTAACTCTTTGAGTAAAGGGATATACACATGCACTTATTATAAAATAAAATGCTTGTGCATGTGTTGATAATTATTTAGCTGAAAATTATTGTTTCCAATGATATTTCAATATAAAAAATCTAAAATTTTGTCAATAATAGATTAGATCCTTGAATTGTAAATAATCACTAAATCTAATATCATGTGCTAGGTCAGTCTCCAAAATTAATGCTTCGTTGATAGTTATTGACATACACCACAGACCAGACATTCTCTTATTTAATGCAAATTAATAGATAATGAGTTGAAGTCGCTATGTAGGCCATCTTCAATAATCTGGTGTTACATTTCAGATCCTAAGCACTAATGTTACATTCAAAGAAATGTCTAATATATCTCAGGAAACAAGAAATGAGCATTACTTCATCTAATTAAGCTATGCTGATATATTTATTTTACATCAAGTAGCTGATTCAACCCTGAAAACATCAGCTTCAGCCTTGACCCTCCTAATCTATCTCATAGCTCCAGCACCACAACTGTCCAGAAGAAGAAACAGATATAATATTAGTGAATTGGAGAGATGAATAGGGAGATAAGAATGGGGCAGATGGAGAGAGAGAGAGAGAGAGGGGGCGGTCTTACATTCAGAGTCTGTAGTTATCCAATTTCCTCTCCTGCTAGAGCAACGATTTAGGCCAACTGCATGTATAGGAGTTGAATTCAATGATACGATGTTGCAGGTTTGATCATTTTTCAACGAAGACATCGCCGAAATTCCTGAAAAGGCGGAGGAAGTAGTGGAGCAGCTCTCCACATCCCATCTAAAACTTATCTTAGGAGAGTCATTGCTAAGTTGATCATCATCTGGCACTGATTTTAGAGCTCCACGGTTCCTGAAGTGCAAAACCTGGAAACAATTTCAACTGCGTGCTTTAAGTACACTGCTAAGCGACCAATTAAGTAATAACTTAAGAGCAAAGATTAATTGTGAACACAACTTTCATACCTTTCTGCCAATGGACTTCCCTCCTTTCTCTGATTTTGCGGCAGCAGCCCACCTCAGCAACTCCTTCATTCTTGACATGGCTTTTGTTTTATCCCCTTTATGCTTGTCTTTCTTTCCACTGGTGCTACATTGATCATTTTTGTCAGTAGAGGATGATAATGCCCCGTCAATTAGCGGTTGAACTTTGTTCCCTGTATGAGTAGCCAAATCCGACTTGTGACCAACAACTAATCGTCCAGCAATATCTTCTTTCTTCATCTTCATGGGTTGGGCACAATGCTGTCTTCTGTGGGAGCTCCCGGTTCTTCTCAAATAGATGGTACTATAGAAGCAAGCCTTTGCAACATCTCTATTGCATAGAAATATAAATGGTTTAAACTTCTTACTTTTTGATCTTCTATGCTTAGACAAAATTATCTCTCTGCGTTTATCATCTTGATCTGAAAACAATTGAAATAATATAAAAAGAAGAAGAAAAACTTTTGTGAGTGAGACTAATTTGGACAATTGGTCGTGCTTGGGAAGAGTTTTTCTTACCTTCAGCAGTTTTCTTGTTGGAAGGACTAGTAGTATATTGTCCTCCCTGTTCATGTGCCACCTTAAAGAGCCACTGAAGGATCTGCTGTAATTCACAATATTGAGGGACATATAAAAGCTTTGAGGGCAATGTTACTCATCTTGTTATATCTGATTCTAAGTGACGAAGCTCACCTGCATGTGCTGTTTGATATTTTGGGAATACTGATAATAATATAGTATTTTAAATTAGTGAATGACTGACAGAGAGAGAGAGAGCTTAGTGAGCAAATCCTGGTCAAATGGACAGCTCTGAGGGATCTATCTGTGCTGTCCGTATGCTGAAGATTCCTGTCTAAAAAATCAGGCACTAGTGAAGATGAAGACAAAGAAAGTTGGAGTGAGTCTGAGGAAGATAGTGAGACAACCAAGCAGTGAGTGGGGAAGGGTTGGCTTGAGATTCACAGTAACATGGGAATTGTTTTATAAGACTAAGAAATGTTCATGTGGTGGTTTTAGAGGGCGATTAGCATTAGCATTAATTAAGAACCAGAATGTGCTCTGTACTGCTGGCCTTTCTCTTTGCCATACAAATGTACGTCTGCAGTTGATGCATCCTGGGTGGTCCCAACTGCTTGTGCCTTTTTGCTTGTAACTGGGTTAACTACGTTCTTTGCCTTCTAGACTCTACATTAAGCACTAACGCTTTCCATGGAGTAATACCAGTCTACTATCATTGTGAAAACATATGCTCAAAGCCTCAAACTGATATCATTTGCGTTTTTGGAGGCCAATAAGGCATTTAACAGCAAAGTTTGGAGACTTTCAGAAACTGCAGAGTAACTGCTATTAATTGGAACAACAACCTTCATCTGAATTGCTTTGGTCTTTCTCGTAAAGTTGCTCTCAACTTGCAATTAAGGTGCTAGCACATGGAGCTCACAACAAGCTATACTTGATGAAGTTTTAACACTGTACCAAATTGAAGAAACGTGTAATGTCAGAATAAGATGCAGTATATGATTCCAAAACATTGCTAGCAAGTAAGCAAAGAGATATTTTGGGACGTGGAATGGTATCCGAAATGTTAATTGCTAAGAGTCAAGGACAATGACCAGTTGATCCGACATGGCAGAGTAAAGAGATATGGCGCAGTTGTTAGTTGTTTACGTAGTAATGATGTCAAAAGAAATTTGAGGCCAATCTTTGCAGAGTTGAAGGATGTGTCTCAAGCTTTCTCACCTTTCCTTCTCACTCACAATTTCTGATGGAAGCTCTCAGGTGAATGGACGTGTCACTGTGCTGTCCATTGCCTTGGCTTTTCCATGTCAACGTGGCGGGACTCGAGTGGGAAGATTGAGAGGGAATCAAGGAAGCTGCTCCCTTCCCTTCGCTTCCCTTTCCTGCTCACACAGAAAACCGGAAGAACAAACAAACGAATCCACTGGCGCAATGTAGCATGTTTTCTTTTTCAACCCTCCATTGCATGGGATTTTGCGGTGGAATGCCGGTCCACGTTCGTTTTGAAGCAATAACAAACTACTATTCAAAGTATTAAGTAGCTAGCTACATCATCCCTAACTTCTTGTACGTATAGTGTGTCATGAGTTAATTTTGTAATAGATTATGATAGGATATAGTTGTTTATAAAATTGAGTCTTTTGTACTTGTAAGAAAAATGTCATTTTTTCATATAATGTAATGACTGATGGTAATATTTGTTAAAATACTTGTTAAGTCTTTTAAGGAGAAAAACTCTTTAGGAAATGAATGTTCTCATTTCAAACATTATAATGACTATTGGTAGAATACTTATAAAATCTCGTAAACTCTTTATAAGGAGTGAGAAGTTGACGGATTATTGGATTGTCTCACTAGTAAAAGTATGTTTGTAGCGGATTATCTGGGTAGCCCCTATGGCCCGATGAAGGTATGTCTTGGTCCCTTTGTAATTAAATTTATATTAATAAAATATTTTTATCTTTTATTAATCAGTAGTTGCATATGTGGCATTTGGTATGCCTTTTGATTTTGATGCGGGTTCTCTTAGTATGATTTGTTGTTATTATTATTATTATTGGAACAGCTGTAACCGAGTATTGGCGACTTGTGTGGAAGTGTCCACTAAAGTGCTGCACGGATTAACAAATATTTAGGCGAAGAAACAAAGTTCGTGACACAGTGCACCACCTAGCCTTAACTTGCTTGCTTGAGAAAGAAAAAGTGGAGGGTTCTATTTATTAATTTTAAAGATTTTTTTTGGTGTAAAATATCTACATATCCCTAAATTTTGACCAAAATTAAATGTCCATTAGTTTGGAAAATAGACACTCAGACCCAAAATCCTTTAACACCGTTAACAGAAAAGTAAAAAGACTAAAATACCTTTCCTCTTTCTATCAAAATCTCTCTTTTTTAGGCAATTTGACTAACCGAAGGCTCTCCTTTATGCTAGGCACCTACCCTGTGGCTAGATTTGGCACTCCTCAAGGCCAAGGAACGCCAAATCAAGTGCAATCTGGAGCTATAAATCACGTTTGGGGTGGAGCTCCGATGCCCCCCTAAGGGAGCACAACAACTCATTCAAAAGGCAGCTCCATTGCTCCCTTGATAGAGTGCAACATCGATGCTCCCTAAGGGAGAACAGGTCTGGCCGCACTCTCTAGAGAGGGTGCAATGTGTTAAATCCTACTAGAGAAGGCTAGATTTGGCTAGAGAAGGTAGGTAGGTAGGTTTTCTTTTCTGAAAGAAAAAAATTTAAAAATAAAAAATAAAGGTTTATATAGTATTGTAATATTCGACATATTTGAGGGTAAAATTGTGGTGGTATATGCCTTCGAGCCAATTAGATTGGTCAAAGAATATAGATTGTCATTTAATGCATATTTAATTATATAACTATATATGATAGAGGTTTTTCTTCATTTTAGTGCAATAATAAGAAAATATTAAGTACTAATTGGATAAAGCCCATCGAACATAAAGGCCTTACAAGAGAACTATAAAGTTGTTACAATTATGATATCACTATGCATTAAATTCATGTTCCTAAAATTGTTCCTACTTTTTGTATTGTCAAAACAAGGCATTGACAATGCTCAAAGACTAGTATATGTTAAGTCTCCTTACTTGGCAAGTAAGCAATCGATCTCATAGATTGAAGTATATGGGATGCTTGAGGATAACATATAGGTGCTTGTTAAAGAACAAGTTCACTGAACATGATTCGCTATGAGAACTTCATTTAGTATTTCACTCAAGTATCTATGGAATATGTTCTCATATTATAGTCATGCAACTAGTCTTTAAGCTTTATACACCAAGTCATCTTGTATGCGAAATGATATACTTTGATTTCACTCCTACGGGTCTGGAGGAGATCAGATGCCTAAATAAGTTATTTTTTAGTATGCCATGAAGCATGCGAAGGTG